GGGTTAGCGGGTTGGCTGGTGGGCGGGTTGGTGGGCGTACCGGGCGGGTTAGTGGGCGGGTTAGTGGGTGGATTGGTGGGCGGGTTGGTGGGCGTGTTGGGCAGGTTTGTAGGCGGGTTTGTTGGCGGGTTGGTGGGAGGGTTGGTCGGCGGGTTACTCGGCGGATTAGTGGGAGGGATGGTAGGAGAATCAGTCGGGGTTTTGGTTGGGGCATCAGTGGGCGAGAAAATGGGAGGTTTAATGGGCGATCCAGTTGGAGCACTAGTTGGGGAGTCGGTGGGCGGGTTGGTTGGAGGGTTAGTGGGAGAGTCAGTAGGAGGGGTAGTGGGCGGGTTGTTTGGAGGGTTGGTTGGAGCGTCCGTCGGAGGAGCGCCAGGCGGGTTAGTGGGCGGGTTCGTGGGAGGGCTGGTGGGAGGGTTCGTAGCTGGAGTACCAGGTGGGTTAGTAGGTGGGTTAGTTGGGACACCGGTCGGAGAGCCCGTGGTGGGCGCCGGTGTTCCGTTTGGGGTGTCGCCTGAAGCAGCCAGAACGGAACGGAGCCGGGTCAGCGGAACGTCTGTAGCCTGAACCTGTATTCTTTGCATCAATGTTTCCCTTCCTGAAATTGCCAATGATCATGCCCTGTTCCTGCCTTCCACGACAAACAAGAGCTCTGCCTAAACGCCATAAGCGGACGTACTCACGGTGAAATTCCGGTAGAAACATTGGTGGTCCACGCAAAGATTTCCGGCTTGCTTCGACGGTCTCGAACTAGGTCTCGGACACAAATACTACTGAGATGGAGAATGATTCTTAGCGAGGACCTTACCGATGCAGATCATTGGGCTGTTTGAGTAACTGCCGACGAAGTTGGAACCCTTCCCCCCCGTGCCTCCGCCGAGAAGATTGCTGGAACAGGCGAAGGCCTGCAGGATTGACGAGTAGCATAAGCCACGTCAGAATGCAAGCATCTTATGCTTTCAGCGGACAAACGCAAGGTAAACTCATATACGAGTTTTTCCAGAGTAGGTAGAAAGCTCTGCAATTCCAACTAGAACGTGAGTCAGGTTTTCGAAGAGTGTGTTCTTTGTGCTTCAGTTCGCGGGCATTCTTTCAGAAGATATGTACGGCCGGAGAAGCCCGTTTGGATCCGCAGATTGGCGCCGACTGGCCTCTATTCTATTGAGCAATTGGCGCTTCGACGGCCTGTGCCAAAGTTAGAATTAACTCTGCTGTGGCACGCGATGCGGAATCATATGAGCATCACAGCCCCACGTACTTCGGTGCGATCTTGCAGAAAGAGCTCCCGTCGCCCGCACCAGCGATTGTTTAAACGAGCTTCGTTGTGTATTAACCGCTTTCTGCTTTTCCATCAGAGATTTCTCTATGGCCGCCAAGAGGCGGTTCGATGTCAGGACAGAAGGAGACAGAGGATAGGTACACGGAAGCCGTCAAAGATGCTTTGCTTACGAATACCAAGATCATTGCGGGAGGGAACGAGGAAGGAGATAAAAGGAAATTCCACGTAACTAGTCAATCAACGTCTGGCAAAAATTAGGTCGGGCCCGTTAAATGCAGGGTCAACATTTTGCAGCTCCAACTGCAATGCATTAGGTGCGTACTTTTGACGCATTTCGCCGATACTAAAGTCTTCGCCATTCTAAGATGTATCTATAACGACGTAGATTCTGTCGAGAACAACATTTTCAATGTCACTGTGTTTAAGGATCCGAGCAGGTTTTCGTACTCACCGCAGGAGCCCCCGCGTCGTTAGTCCTCGCACAGCCGGCCCTGCACGCCTGAGCGTTGCAACCTAACCCCGGGTTAGCTGACTTTTTGTCTGGGGCAGGGTAAACCTTGGTCAGATCACCGGTCATCTGCGCGTAAACTGCGGCCGCCACTTGGAAGCTGATCTCCACTCCCGCCGGGGGGGTGGAAAGAGCCGAAACACACAGCGTCCAGCTGTACTGGGACCCCCCTCCGCCGCAAGATTTTAGAACCACCGCTTCGGAAGCGGTGACTTGGTGCGCAAGTCCGACTGCGAACACGTCACCATTCCCCTGATTCGCTGACGTCACCCACTGCCCCCGCGAAAAGATTGTCGACGCAGGCCCCGCGCTGAAACTAATCGTTGCCGCGGGGGCTGGGATGCTCAGGCCGCAGACTGAGATTGTGCTCGGGGCAATCGTAACGGTGCTCGGGGCGTTCAACCGGGAGGTTTGGATAACGGAGCTAAACCAGATCCACTGGCCGGAGGCCCATCCGCCGGGCGCTTGGCTCTGCTGGAAGGAGTGGGTGGCCGTTGCGCAGCTGGAACCGGAGCAACCTGTGACGGAAATCGGGGTTTAGCCGTTTGACTCGAAGATTCTGGAGAGGAATCCAGGCACTCGATGAAAATCGAGGACAGAAAGTGCCAGTCTGGGGTCTTGTGGCTGTATGGAACGAGAACGAATGAGGTCGAAGCCTAGGATTCACATCGACTCTCCGAGATTATTTAGGATCAAATCGCGTCCGAAGGAGAGAGTTTGGGGCTGCTTGTGCAACTTGAGTATTTCAATTGAGTATTTCAGTTGAGTATTTCAAAGATCCCTGCAAGAAGCAAAAGGTGATGCAACTTGGACCTACTTTCGGAAAGAGCTGAAAGCTGAAGCTGCAAACATGTCAGAAGAGGGACTGTACCGGAAGCATGGGATCGAGCAAGACTGAGAACCGGTCTCGAGGCTTGGAAAAGTTTAGAATCGCTCTGGCCTCAAGTAACGGCTGAAAAGAATGTCATATACGCACAAACGTAGAAGTGCGCATCTGCAAGCGACCCTCAAAATTGAGAAGCTGACAACAAGCGGACCATTCCGAATAATGTGACGAGAGTCCGTCATGCTCTTCGAAAGTCCTTGTCCTTCCAAAAAGACGAGATCTGAGATCGATATAACATATTCGCGCTCATTTGTACGTATGTCTAGGAATCGAAAAAAATAAAGTATAGGCACACGATGCAGCAGCACTCACTTTCAACGGACCCGCTTCCGGTCTACTCGGAAACGCGAGTTTGCGACTGGAAAGCGAGTTCCTGACGACGAGAGACTGGGGCGACTGACGTTTAACGCGCTCGTGACGCGAAAAACTCTCCTTTGCAGAAGCTTATTCCGAGCAAAATGACGGTCGACCTCGACCAAATGCTCAAATAGCCTTTGAGTACACAAAATACTTACGGTAGCTGTCGGGGGGTCCGCGGGGCGTGGTGGGCTTGGGAGCGGGAGTGCTGTGGCTCGGCGCAGGAGTCTTGGGCGGGTTAGTGGACGGGTTACCGTACGGGCGATCCGTGGGTGCTGGCGGAGTCCTCTTTGTCGGCTCCGGGTTGCCATAACCTCTGGTCGGTTCTGGGTTCCCGTAACCCTTTGTCGGCTCCGGCTTGTCTCCGTAACCCTTGGTCGATTCCGGCTTGTCTCCATAACCCTTGGTCGACTCCGGTTTGTCCCCGTAACCCTTGGTTGACTCCGGCTTCTCTCCGTAACCCCTGGTTGACTCAGGTTTGTCCCCATAGCCCTTGGTTGATTCGGGCTTGTCTCCGTAATCCTTGTTCGACTCCGGCTTGTCCCCGTAACCCTTGGTCGACTCGGGCTTATCACCGTAACCCTTAGTTGATTCGGGCTTGTCCCCGTAACCCTTGGTCGACTCCGGCTTGTCCCCATAACCCTTGGTCGACTCAGGTTTGTCCCCATAACCCTTGGTCGGCTCGGGTTTGTCCCCGTAACCCTTGGTCGACTCCGGCTTGTCCCCGTAACCCTTGGTCGACTCGGGTTTGTCCCCGTAACCCTTGGTTGACTCCGGCTTGTCACCGTATCCCTTGGTCGACTCAGGTTTGTCCCCATAACCCTTGGTCGGCTCAGGTTTGTCCCCGTAACCCTTGGTTGACTCCGGCTTGTTCCCGTAACCTTTGGTCGACTCGGGTTTGTCCCCGTAACCCTTGGTTGACTCGGGCTTGTCACCGTATCCCTTGGTTGACTCATGTTTGTCTCCATAACCCTTGGTCGGCTCGGGCTTGTCCCCGTAACCCTTGGTCGGTTCAGGATTCCCATAGCCCTTCATGGGTTCCGGCTTTCCGTACCCTTTGGTCGGCTCAGGGTTGCCGTAACCTTTCGTCGGCTCTGGGCTCCCATAGCCCTTCGTCGGCTCCGGCTTTCCGTAATTCTTCGTGGGCTCAGGGTTTCCGTATCCCTTGGTCGGCTCAGGGTTACCGTAACCCTTCGTCGGTTCAGGCTTTTCAGACCCTTTGGTAGCCTCCGGTTTTCCGTAGCCCTTCGTCGGCTCCGGGTTTCCGTATCCTTTCGTGGGCTCAGGATCCCCGTAGCTCTTCGTGGCCTCCGGTTTTCCGTAGCCCTTGGTTGGCTCAGGGTTCCCATAAGCCTTAGTCGGCTCAGGGTTTCCGTAACTCTTCGTCGGCTCTGGGTTCCCGTAACCCTTTGTCAGCTCTGGGTTCTTGTACTCCTTCGTGGGCTCTGGTTTCCCGTAACCCTTGGTCGGCTCAGGGTTTCCATAACCCTTTGTCGGCTCTGGATTCTTGTACTCCTTCGTGGGCTCTGGTTTCCCGTAGCTCTTGGTGGGTTCAGGGTTACCGTAACCCTTGGTCGGCTCAGGGTTTCCGTACCCTTTCGTGGGCTCCGGTTTCCCGTAACCCTTGGTTGGCTCGGGGTTCTCGTAACCCTTGGTGGGCTCTGGGTTTTTATACCCTTTGGTTGGCTCAGGGTTACTATAGCTTCTGGTGGGCTCCGGGTTTCCGTAACCCTTAGTCGGCTCTGGGTTTCCATAGCCCTTCGTTGGCTCCGGCTGCTGATAACCTCTCGTTGCCTCAGGCGCCTTATACGACTGCGTCCTCTCCGGCTGCTGATAGCTTCTCGTCGCCTCCGGCGCCTTATAAGACTGCGTACGCTCCGGCTCCTTATACGACGGCGTCCGTTCCGGCTCCTGATAGCCCTTCGTCGCCTCTGGCGCCTTATACGCTTGCGTCCGTTCTGGTTCCTGATAGCCCTTCGTCGCCTCTGGCGCCTTATACGCTTGCGTCCGTTCGGGCTCCTGATAGCCCTTCGTCGCTTCCGGCGCCTTATACGACCGCGTCTTCTCCGGCTGCTGGTAGGCTTTCGTCGCCTCCGGCGCCTTATACGCTTGCGTCCGCTCCGGCTCCTGATAGCCCTTCGTCGCTTCCGGCGCCTTATACGACTGCGTCTTCTCCGGCTCCTGATAGCCCTTCGTTGCCTCTGGCGCCTTATAGGACTGCGTCTTCTCCGGCTGCTGATACGCTTTGGTGGCCTCCGGCGCCTTATACGCCTGCGTCTTCTCTGGCTGCTGATAGGCTTTCGTCGCCTCAGGCGCTTTATACGCCTGCGTCTTCTCCGGCTGCTGATACGCTTTGGTGGCCTCCGGCGCCTTATACGCTTGCGTCCGTTCCGGCTCCTGATAGCCCTTCGTCGCCTTCGGCGCCTTATATGACTGCGTCTTCTCCGGCTGCTGATACGCTTTGGTGGCCACCGGCGCCTTATACGCCTGCGTGCGCTCCGGCTCCTGATACGCTTTGGTCGCCTCCGGCGCCTTATACGCCTGCGTTGGCTGCTGGTACGACAACCTCGGAGAAGGGCTGGCCGCCTTATAACCCGCCGCTTGCGAGTCCTTATAGCTGGTCGCCGACGGGGGTTGAGTCTGCTTCTGGTTGCTCCCGTATGAGTCCGCTGCCTCGCCTGAGAATGGAAAGCGGCGTGGAATTAGACGGACTCTCGACTGAGTCTGTTGTGTCGGCACATAAGAGCGGACTTTCAGATTCCCAGCTCGATCTGGAGCGTAGCATAAAATAGCCCTTCAGAAGGCCTTACACCAATTCGTTCAAGGTTTGGAAGTAAAGAAGTACGTGGCCGTTGCTAACAAAGCTGCTTGTTCCCCTCCACTCAGAATGCTTTCCAGCAGATCCAAGCTTCCACCTCAACCTCTTCCAGAAAGGCATTCGCAAGCCACTTATTCAGCAGTGTTCTCTTCACAATGTGAGTGGCAAAGTGACTGCGACAGATTCGCCAAAGATATTGATTTCCCTTGGACTGGATGGCAGCAGAAAACGATGCTTTTAAGGACTGCGCCAGGCAAACTAGACCTCCCCTGCCATCACCCTAACGCTGATATAAAGATCGCACTTGGCACACGAAGCTGTAGAAAGACAACGCGTTTCCCTACTTTTCAGAAGGGAATTTTGCTCGTGCAAATTAACAATCTGACCGGGTTTCTCCTTTCAAAGCTCGCTTCTTGGTTGCTCAAAAGGTGTCTCCGATCCTCTCATCCAGCTCCGTCTCAGCCCTCTCGTTTTGTACGTTCGCAGAAGCGCCCACATAAGCTTTGGACGAAGCATAATCGCTTTTTTAAAAGGAGAAGAAAACCGCTATGAGTGCCCAGCGTCCCGAAATCGAGCCCTGGAAGAATTACCACCATCCCCCACTAGAAAAAGTAGCCTATAGGCTGCTCATAGCCCAAAAAGTGAGAGAAAACGAAACACTCTTTCTTTTCAGCGCCAATTGAAAGAGACTTTTGTCTTTCTTTCAAAAGAAAAAAAAATATGCAGACCTTGTTGTCAGGCGATTTGACACAGGGTCACAGCTGTAGTTACTGTCCGGGTCGTCCTTTTGCACTTAACATCTGTCGATCAGGGGATCCCCTTGATTCCAGAGCTGGATTTATGTAAGAATCAGGGACATTTCAAGTTCTCAGTTCTGGAACGAGAAATCGGATCTAAGTTTAGCAGCCAAGTGTCCGTTGCCTATGGTTTGTCAAGCTGTCTCCACCAAAGGCAGCCAGCGCGCCTATTATCAAATGTCACGGAATAGGAGAACGATGTTATGACCCCAAAATTATGCCTTGATCACGAGTCTGAAACTCGTTGTTCTGGACACACTGAAGCAAAGAAGTTCACGGACACAGTTACCCTCATTCTTCCAACCTGATCTAAGTTCCTGCCTGAAAAATAAGAGTCTCTGCTGGTGGATACGTAGTGTTTCAAGACAGTCATTGCTCACCAGCTATCACGAGAAGGCAGAGTAGAAGCAACCCCAATGGGAGAGCACCCGCCGGCGCCCCCCTTCTCTTGGACCCATACCTGGGGCCCCCCATTTCGAAACGCTCGCCGAAGAATCTCCCGCATGCGATCCTTCGCAGTTTTAACTAAAGCCAATTCGTCCTCCTCTGCGGTGCATTCCCTCTCACAACCAACCACCGGACTTAGGCTAGTCCTAGTTAAGAACAAACCTTACACCGATCAGCGCACACGTGCTGCTTTCAGGAATCTTTCACACCCCAACTTCACCCGTAGCCAAAACGTGAAGCGTCTACAAATTCCCCTCCCGTGCACGCAGTGCAGGGTCCCACCAGACAAGCGACGATCCCCCTAGCGATCCAAGCAACTTCCACATTTCAGGTCGGACTTAACGCCGGAAGCTACCTTTGGTGCTGTCTGATCGCGCCAGCTTCGTTTTGGAACCACGCAATGCTGGCACTACAAAGTAAAAATGAACATCACTGCTAGCGCTCGAAGATGCGTGCCCAGTCATTTACGCTCCAGTCCTCTTAGAATACGGCATTGTTTTTGATAGATTTCTAGCGATCAGTAGTCAGTCGCTGTGCTGTGGGAAAGCAAAAGACAGCAGCTGAGAATACAAAGGCCAGTGTTTGAAGTGACAGAGTGTGTTCAATGATTGGCAGGCCCCGCTTATGCGACGTTCCGAGCATCTTGGGGCAAATCCATTTCTGAATTTATCCGCAAGATGAGATCAGTGATCCTGAGTGCATAATCACGCCGTGCAAGATCAATGAGAAGTTGTATAACGCCCAGGGACCAGCACACGTCTTTTTGACACGTCGTCTCCACGACAGGGTTCATCGGGGCACAAGCTGCCACAGCAAATTAAGAAAGTTACAGTAGACACCTGCCAGTGCAGCAGAGGTGTACTTACGAATACGGTAGGTAGTAGTACTACCCAGACTTTCAAGTTCGCGCGGTGCATGCAGTGTGTGCTTCAAAGTTCATACGAAACCGAGCTCAATGATGGAGAATCCAACAAGAACGTGCGCGCGCACCGTACTATCCAAAATGCGCGCGTATAACTGCCAGGCCCAACGGGCCTTGCGTCATAGGTGTGACGGTGGAATTCCAATGTTCCTGTGCCCAGGGCTTGGGCAAGTTGCGGCTTCGCTCTTCATCATCCATCAAGAAGCATTCAATTTGATTGTCGATGGTGGTGTTGACATCATTTGCTCTCTGGGTCTGAGCTCCATCTTGAATCACTTGTGAACAGAACAGCGCCATTGCTTCGCAAGAGGGCCCAAGACAAAGGGCCAGGCTATTGCAATCCCTTTCCTCAATTATCTCACTTGACGCTCTTAATCTCGTAACGAGCTCAAAAAAAGCTTGCCCGTTTGCAGCTGCAATCTGTTTACGCAGGTTTGGAGTTCACTCGCTGCGAGTTCAATGCTTTAGCTTTTGGGGCTGGTCTTTCAAAAAGAAGTTGTTGCAGATGCAAGTGAAAAGCTAGGTATGCAGCGCAGGCAGCTCGGGCCCACGCTTAGAGAGCTGCAGCTGCCAGCTAAGGTGGTACTCTCTTTGACGTAAGTGGCCAGTCAGTTGCTGTAGCGGGGGGAAAAGGAGAGTAGCAGCACTTGAAAAATCGGCCATTGGTTTGTTTCACAGACCAGTGCGCATGCAGCCCAGCTGATTAAAGCCCCACAAACTCAATACCTGGACAGAACCCACCGCTACATTGATGCAGTTACCAGCTCAAGGAGTCCACCTCCAGGTTAAGCAGACGGGTTAGGCGGTGACCAGCTTTTTGCCCAGTCCAATCTGGCGGGCAGAATTGACCAGAAAAGATGAGTTCACAAAAATTAGAGGTCCCACAATGGAGCTTGAAAAGGTTTGTCCGAACGCAGGTCTTTGGGGTTGCGTCCATTCTAGTTCTCTTCTTGTGCGCCTACCTTTTGAGCTCAAAGCAGGACGTCATCTCGCCAATGAGGACAGCTGTCAATCGCTCACTAGCCAGGGGCCGCCCCTCCAGAAAGTTTGGGGATTTCAGCGCAAACGGCGAGCAGTACTCGCGGGTGTCGGCCCTTCTCGACCGGTTGAAAATAGATGAGATGGAGTCGAAAGTTGTTATGAGAAGAGCGGCTGTGAAGCGACCACGCTCAGCTGATACTTTGGTTCTTTCAAGCGGGCTGGCCGGTTGGCAGAGACAGAGGACGGCTGGGAACGGGAATGAAGCGGAGCTTGGAACAAAGGATTTGTTTAGAAAAGTTGCAGGGGCCGCAGTGGAGTCACTCAGAGCGAAGAAGGGAGCCGAGGTTTCTGCTGAGGGATCCCTGGAGGCGGGCGTCATTCAACATGAGAAGGGGGAAGGAAGTCCAAGCGCCAAGGGCCGTTTAGCCTTTCCCGGCCTGTCTCGTCAAGATGAAAACACTGAAACGACACAAAAGTCGAGTCTTTTGGGAAGAGCAGGTTTGTGGGACGAAGGCTCAATGGTTTGGGACAGTCCAAAAAGCACCGCAGAATGCGTCAGAGATGCGGATGGGTCGGATGTCTGTCACTACGGAGAAGTGGTGTGTTACGATGGAGAGCGGGGGAAGCTGGTGCTAGTGGACGATGATCGGAAGGGGGAAGCGTTTGCGTCGGAAATCATTTTTCAGGACGGGCGCTGGACGCAAGGGAGGTGAGGGAACTGTGCGCAACTCTAACTTCTGTGTCAGGGTGAAGGGAAGTTCAGTACCGCACCTTCTGTCAAACCAGGCAGCCTCACCGAAACTCGATCTAGGCTGGTCACAGAATCTAGGTAGGCATCCCATTATTTGTTATAGGCAATCTAACGGCCCAAGTTTCTGGAATGATTGAGATCGAGGTTACATCGAGCGGCCAGGTTTGACAGTACCTACGGTAGCGCAAACTGAGAACAAGACGCTGAGATCTATGCACTCGTACATGCTTGGAGTTATGGTGTATTTTTTTGGTGTATGCAGACTTTTGTCACACCTTGATTGTCCTTAATCTGGGAAAGCAAGATTTGTACGTAGAAAGGCCAACGTTTCACCTCTATACTCGACAAAATTCCGGACACCTTTCCTTAAAGTGCATGATACTTCTTGGGCTTGCTCGCGAGCCAGAAGGAACTTAGAACGATCTCACTGACACGATGAGATATTGTAACTCCTGTCCTGAATCCTTCCCCCAACAGTCTCAGTGCAAGCGTATCCCCAGTATTCTAAGAGGCAGACACATTCACATTTAATAAGAGACGCGTTCCCATGTTTACCATGGTTTGGGGGGACGTTGTTCTACCACGTCAGCACACTGCTGACGTCAGGGTCTTGCGCGCAGGCTCCCCCCGGACTCCAAGTGGCCGCTGCCCATCAACAACAAGATCGAGGGCGTCTGGGAGAGCGCGGACGTTCTTGCGAACGCGACCTTTTTGGACGGTGGGCTGTGGTTCGTACGTCCGGAAACGGACACCACGAATCACATCTGGCACAATGGACTGTCGTTTACGGGCCTTCTGCAGGTATGGCGTCTCGGTAATTGCTTCCGAGGTCGAATCCGTTTTGTTTTGTCCCTTTCCGGTCCTGTTCCGTTTCGAGAACCATAAGTGAAACAGTCCGGACGTCCTTAACGAGCCTTCTGCAGGGAGGCGTCCTCCGAGAAACATGTCGTACGCTTTCCTTGGGCAAACCATCGGATGAAACCTCCGCGTTTGCGAAACCGTTCAAGCTGATCGGCGACTAGACCCGACTTTCAAAGCCTCCCGCTTTGAGCAAATTATGCAATCTCGACGTCTTTGTGTGTTTGTCGTATCAGGAGATTACTTGTAGGCGAACAAGGACGATGATCGAAGGTTTGCGGAGTCGCATTTGCAGAGCGTGATACGATGCTTGAATTTTTAAACACGGGTGGACTTTCGGTAACCAACGACGTAAAATTCTGGGCGCTGGCTCACGAAGACGGGCATGTGTTCTGCCCATTCTGCTGAGGGAAGCTGAGGACCCCGACTCTCGCTCCGCAGGCTCAGATGCGGAATGCTTCGGGAGCGTTTCCGCCGTTGGATCACGTCCTCGTGCTCAATCGAACGGCCGGTACTTCGGGATACACGGACTACAATCTCGGCATGTTGAAGATCGTTTCTCAGCCGCAGACAAAGCTGGTGTTCACGAAAGACCTCCCGCACAAAAACAGGTAGGTGCCCCTTCGTTCTGCTCCGTTTTCCTGCAACGTTCTGCAGACGACGGCGAGGGCTCATACGGCCGCATGAAGACTTCTTTTTCCCAAACCCTGCTTCCGTCTTCTCAATCCTGCAATTTTTGTTCCAGGAGTGTGCCTGCTTAGCTCTTCAATGAAATCAGGTGGCTGATACTCATTGCTGACAGCTCTCTCCTTTGTCTAAGCCATGCGCCGATGTCCAACGAATCCTCGCGTTCTGCCACAATTCTGAAAACCCCGTTTTTAAATTGCTAAGTATAACTCCACCCATTAACCACCGCTTGTTCAACTCTGATCCAGATTACTCTGCGCCGAGCGCGGCGGGATCACGAGCTACAAGCCCTCCTGGTCGACGGGACCTCTAGACGCCGCAGAGCTAAGGGCGCGGGCTTACGAACACCTAAAGATTCCGCATGTTGACCGCGCGAACTGGACGCGGGTTACGCTGGTTAACCGCCCGTCAGGATTCCCGCGGCACGTGGAAAACGCGGACGAGGTTACGGAGGCGCTCCGAAAACTGGGTTTGGAGGTTGACCTGGTTCAGGAGGTAGCGAGGCAGTCGCGGAGTTTCCGGGAGCAGGTAAGGAGGGTTAGCTGGTTACCATTGGAGCAGTTTTGAAAATCTTTCGTCCGTTGATTCATATTCCTGTAAGAAGCGTTTGCCTGAATCAAAGCGAAAAGCGGGAGTGTTTATAGAGCGGGTCCAGCTGCTGTAACGAAGTTCGAACGTTCTCAAGGGGTGCCGTTTGCGGTTGGCTTGAGTACATTCAGTTCACCCGCCTTTTGGAGGCATCCTTACGAAACTCATGTGGGCAGTTTTGATCACAGCGATCGAGAAAGTACTTGGAACTCTGCCAAAAACACCTTCTTTAGTCACTCTCTGTTTCAAGCAGTTTTTCAGAACCCCTGAGTACTTTCTGAGAGAAGAACGCTGCTTTGCTTGGATTCTCTCAGACCACGAAAGTTCCAGTTGAGGGCAGGGGAGGGCGAGTTTGCACGTTGGAGCAACAAAGCGGTCCCAAAATCCTTGTTTTTCTTCATGTGGCAGGTTCTGACCATGTCGCAAACGGGAATCCTCATCGCCCCGCACGGAGGTGGTTTGGCTAACCTCGCGTGGTTACCCGAAAACGCGGCGGTCATCGAGCTGTTCCCCAACAAGTGCGTCCAAACGGAGTACCGGAACATGGCGGCCGTACGAAACTTGATCTACTTCGGCGTCGAAGCCGTCAATTACACACATCCGCAAGTCGGGGCTGATTTCACCCCTGAAGAAGTTGCAAGGTGTCAAGGCTTGCATTCGATAGACCACTCGCATGACGGCACGTGCAACCAGATGGTCAAGAACTATCCGTTTAGAGTGCCGGTAGAAGAGCTTGCAAAAACGGTTCGATACGCGCTCGAACACTTCTTCATGCTGCAAGTGCCGTTTCCCAACCAGCGGAGACTCTGAACTAGAATCAACGCGCAGCTAGCAACAGCAAAGCTAGCGCGTCGTCGAGTTGCTAAAGTTGGTTTCAGGTACAGCCACGGTTTTGAAGGGGCCTGAGTATATAGGTGTGAAAACGCGAGCCCGCGACTCAAGCTGAGCTAGAGTTTTGAGAGAGTTCTAGAGTTGGGCCGGCCGCGGGCGGCCGGAACCCAGATCTGGTACAATGAAACGACTGTGTACGTCATGGTGCCTGTCCTTTTAGGACACGTGTTGGTCGATTGTCTCCTCAGTTGCGACTACGGTACAACTTTCCTGCTTAGATTGGCAGCTTGCATCACGTGTATACATATCAATGACTCGGATAGATCGAATGATGCAGTGCGTGATAGGAAGCTATGCACACCAACGTGCGAAAGAGAGGTAGTCATTCCTTTTGCTAGATCGGACACATATGTGCAGTTAGACCATTTAAATTATGGCGCGTGGTTATTTGCATATGTGCAGCGGAAGAACGTCTAATACGCCCGGCGGCCTAGCCGCACACGCGCGAACCGGCTTGCTGCAGTGAGTCGGCCGCGGCTCCTAAATCCGACATTCATCTATGTTCCGGTTGGTGGATGCAATACATGATCCTTAATATGTTAAAAGAGGCACATGCACGCGCGACGTGTCCATAAATTCTATATAAGCAAGTAGTCGGAGCCTCATGCTTAATTCAGCCATCACTCTCTACATAAACTGCGCAGCCGCTTGAAGGCCTACATGCAACGTATGGCCAAATATTGCGGTACGTCCGACGGTCAATGATCAAATGGTTTTTCCAAACGCCGACTAGCTTGTTACCAATCGTATATACGTGTTCTTCTGCATGATTATTTTTGAGCATGCATGCAGTGCGCTGCAATACAGGACCTCTATCAGACACATTCAACATGGCAACAACTGTTGTACTCGAAGTTGACAAAGGAGCTTTCGGACCACGAGGACCACTAGCTTGGTTGCGCATTCAGTATCGTCAAGAACACCTTGACATATGAGAGACAGGCCGCCGTCAAATTTTGGTCCTTCTTTCGAGGGTTCAGTACTCTTCAAACTCTTCTCAAGAGCCATCACAAGGGAACGCTCAGTCGGCTTATGCAAGATTAGTAGAGCAATGTTGTTAGGTTCGACCGATTCATATAATATTCTCATTGTACGAGTGAGTCCAAGAACGGCTGCCCAGTACGCTACAAGTGATAAGGTTGATGTACAAAGCTCCCTACGAGCCAAAAATGAAAACCGCGACCATACTAGTTGTCTTGCGTTTCTCGCAGAAGCGAGAGCAGGTTGATGAACAGGTTGAGTACGTCTATGTACAGCATAACGGACGCCCAGATGTACTCGTCGTACGAATGCCGCTTAATCAGATTCTCCGTGTCCTGCAAAGCACAACGAAAAGAGTTTTCACAACCAAATTTAGGCAATTACCAGAGCAACCCAGTTCCGTGACGAGCCTCGCAGGTTTAACACGGAGAATGTTATCAAAGTCACAATCTCAGACGAAACGTGGAGCCACTTTGCAAACTCCCGAGTCTTGACACTCGGCTACGTCTGACGGGGGGCATGGACCGAGGGGGGTGAATAGTAAAAGTAAGCAGCAGAAAGGTGGCCCCTAAGCGAGACCGGACAGTGAACCGCTGTAAGTGGGGCTTCGGCGCAGCAAAAATATTGTCCGCCCTTCTCCACGTAAGGCTTGATTTGATTGGGCACAATCATCGACGCCACCGGTTCTGCATCGAGGGACTCCCTCTTGGCTTGATTGCTCCCCAATCAGACGTTCGCTTAAGGATCAGAGAAGCAGAAATGACCCAGTGAAAGACGGCTTCTCCTACTTTTCATTTGCACGCGTCGTGAACTTGAATCCCTCATACCGGAATTGATGCCTTTCGAGGAAAGAGAGAAACGATCTTCAGCAATGTCCTGATGCAACAACCGGCCATTGGACGACGGCTAGGTTTCAAGGCACCGAAGGCCCGTCGACAGGTTCCGGATTATATTGATAAGAAGAAGTTTCTCGACTAACCCCTGCGGAATTGGTCTGACGTGTCTGAAACGAAATGCCTTTTCTTGTTTGGTGGACAGCGAGAACTGACAGACTGGAAACCTTGACGAAAAGGTGATACTTACATAGACGATGTAGACGCTAAAGACGAGCGCCCCCAGGGCGGCGTAAATCGTCCGCGACACGTGGCCCATCGGGAAGAAGATCTGCGGCCAGAATCGACGTTTAGTGAGACTTAGCGATTCGATTGGAACAATCTGAGACCCTTGATCGAACCGTACATGATCCGGGCCAGATCTGCAGACTCAGGCGTTTGGCGAACATTGGTCGACAAAGCAATCTAGTGTGCCAAAAGTACAGAGAAAAGCACTCGCAAAAAAAAGCCTGGTTCCAACCGCGGTACAGAAACTCTGATTGCGAGCTTGGACAATGGTCCAGTCTGGTTGCATGATGTTACGAGCTGTTCGAATGTGAGCAACCGAACGACGCTGTCTCGTGGGGAAGACGTAACATCCTTCGTGCTCTCTACAAAAAAGTAGAATAGCAGATGCTGGAGAGGTACACAAAGAAGGAAGTCAGACAAAAACGTCCCAGATTAGATAATTTCTTGGTCATTGAAATCCCTTCAAACGCTCTTGCATTCGGCACAAGAAATGACGAACTGAAATGGACTAGGACAAGGGCGGAACGCCTCTCCGATTCTTGACAGCCAACGACATAACACAAAAAATCGGCCTTACATCGAATTTGTTTAGAGTAAGTGGGGAGAAGAGCAGAGAAGTGAGTGGCTAGCTTAGGCGAGAGCCCCATCCCGTGAAAGGAGCAGCGACAACCACAGAGACAACATATTGGCCTCCTTCACTGAACCAAGGCGCAGAGAAGGCACTCACGGGAAAGTGGAGGAGATTCCCGCTTGGAGGAAGCCCATCCAAAGGAAAGGCTTGAGGGTAAATCGACGAAGAGAGTAAAATCTGATCGCGGAGAAGCTCATCCGATGAGAACGAGTGGAGCGACACCCACAGTCTCGACCCCAGGAACAGGGTATCGGCCTTCCTTCAAAGCAAAAGCCTTCACAGAGAAAATGTTAAAAACACTGAGAGATAATATAGATGAGAAGAACTGCTTACTTGGAGGAAGCCCCATCCGATGAGAACGAGCACCGACACCCACAGAATCGGCCCCAGATACGAGAAGTCGGCGCCTTGTCGGACGGCGTAGAAAGTGTACGCCGTAAGCGACGCGACCACTATGAATGTCAGCAGGAGGGCCTCGAACACGATGGGGGCTGCGGAGAATGACGTCAGCATCGTCAGCACCAGTAGGTGGCTCACCGAACGGGCTCAGATGATCGCAGCAAGAACCATGTCCACAATGAAAACCGATGGCGATGATACGAAGCCTGTCCGTGTTGTGGCAGCTTGTTGGGTTACGAAAGACAACTGGCACAACGACACAGATCGCTGAAAGATTAGCCTTTTTAAAACATTCGCATCAACTGAGATGGGGAGCGGAATGTAAGACCACATAAGACTAAGAAAAGAGCAGAACGGAAGTCGCAAGGTCAAGTGAGCCCAAATCGACTTACCAGCCGTGAATGATGCTATGACCCCAACCGAAAGGCTGAGAGCGATCGTGTAGACCGCCAAGAGGACTAAATTCAGTGGGTGGCTTTGACTATAGCAGGCCAGGGGAAAGATCACTGCACAACAAAGAAAGCAGCATGAGCGTCTTGTCAGCATCTTCTTTTCGTTCCACGTTCTGATTCACGGAAAGTTTTCCTTCCAACCACTCGTGTTTACATTTTGCACCGTCATTGCGATAGACCCGTCTTTATGCTTCAAGCATGAACACGAGCCAAACTAGTAAACAGTTTCTAAGAACGAAGGATGCAATCTAGATAATTACATAAGGCATGCCGTGTAATTTTTCTTAGTTGCCTAGAATTTTGGCCCCCTGCCTTCAAAGAAGGGGGACCTGGTCTTGATATTTGATAGCTTCAAGGAGACGACCCTTTATCCTGAAAAGTACCAATCTACTTTGTCAGACACACTTCATGGCGCCAAATTCTCATCTGGACCTCTCGGCAACTACAAGGAAAGGTTTGCTCTTGGCACAATGCCTTCTCAAAGAAACGTGGAGAGACCGAATGTTATAATAGAGTGGAAAAAGCGAATGCAACTCACGAATGATGGGGCTGATTGCGAGAACGAGGTAGAGGCCAGGAGTGTTGACGATGAAGTCTCGCAGCGTAGGGACGGCCACTACTGTGCCCACAGTAACTAGCGTTAACAGTATCTGGAACGTCAGGATGCCGTACACCTGACGAGAAACGGGGACAACGGTGAAATCCTTGTTCGAGGTGCAGAATGATAGCAGAGACAAGTGAGGGGTCTTGTAATTTGAAGGAGCCTGTGATCAGACCGTTGGAAGTGAACGCCTGAAATGGTGAGCATGTGTCCAAGTACTGGTATCTTGGTTGAGGAATGAAGCCACATAAGGTAGCACTCGCTCAGCGAAGTCCTAATATGAAGAGAAGGGCATCCACCCTTTGGGTTGTGCACAGGTGTTTACGTATTGTCCGTAGATAGAAATGAGAGGAACCTGTGGTAGGACTTTCTGATAGTCATTTTCAGGAAACCACGTGGAGCGGAGGAGTCTCTTGACACTCAGTCATTATTTTTCAGTTCTGGGTGGTCAGCCAGTATTTTTCATTTCTGGGTGGTGTGGGCAGAACTCCACCAGGTACTTTTCGCAGTGTTAAATTGCTGTGGGGGGTTTGACAGCTCAGTCCAATGATCGTTGCTTTTTGGTAGAACAACAGGGCTGCAACTCCCCGCAGCAGTAACGAAACAGCATGGCACTGAAAGTGCATGCATCCAACTTCCTCAGGAGCAACCTTTCATGGTGAGGAAGCTGACAGAAAGCTTCATGACATCTTTGTATCTTTCTGGACACTTCCAGGAACTTGTTTGGAGGGCGTCGCCGAGTGCTGTGACGACTCCTAAACACAGTGGCATATGATTCGAGAGAATAAAAGATTCCAGGCCTTTATGCCGAGAGGCCGAAGTCCACCTGCGTCTGTACAAGCCAATAAGATGCTCTTATAAAGCACAGACCAATCTCACTTGCACCTTGAAAAGCTTGAACACAATGCTGCGACTTTCCTGCTCTACCTTTCTAATGAAGCCCCAGCGCATCTCTGCATCTGCTCCTTCCAACCCCGGATAGAGAGAGGTTCCCGCTTCCTCATCGTAACCCCTTGTGCGGCCCCATGCGAAGCCCTTCCCGGCACCCGTACTTCGTTGCACGTCTGAGTATCCCGACTGAGGCCCTTTCTGACCGAATGACCCGTACATGGTGAAATTCAAAGCACAGTCCAAGGCGCAACGATTCAAACTTTCGAAGGAAAAGCTTTCCTAGCCCAGGCTTCCAAGAAGAACGTCACTTGGATTTGCAGGTGCGCCACCACTCCAAACTTTTGCTGAAAGAAACAATTTAGCTAAAAAGTGGTCAGGTCTACCTAGAGGCTGCTCAGGCTCAGCCTCCCCTAGACTCAGAGGCTAGATTGTTCGTGGCGAAACTAAATAATTTCGCCATTTATATTTTCGCCGCATTTTCGCCATTTAGTGTCTCAGGACGGAATTTCGCCAGTGTGGCGAAATTCCGCGGCGCGGCCGCGAGAGTGTTCTCGCGCGCGCGTTCCGACGCATACAGCGCGGCCGCGCAGCGCGTGCCGGCAGCTTGTGCGCGCGCGATCGACGAATGCACATGAGGCACGCGGCACTTGCAGATGCTCATCCAACGGCGTACAACCGTCTTGATGTGACGATGTTTATGAAAACTTGAAAGATGCAACGTCGATCTGAGATCGACCATGGCATCGGACGACATAGCGAGCGTCAAATTGGCGGGAGGGCTCGGGAGTCTCTGCCAATCAGGTACAGCAAGGAGAACACATGAACAGATTCCGCCAATGAATGGCAGCCAACGTGTCCTACTGGCGCAAATCACGATCCAAAACCGCCAGACTCCTGCCAAGTCCATGCTGACTCCCCAGTGAGTCAACATTGAACAAGCGCCCTTGAAGTTGTACCTGGATTCACAGGGGGTTGCCTTGACAATTCTGCCAACACTTCTGCTGCAGCCAGTAGGAGGGCTCAGCTGGCAGGGCAAATCAGCTGAGGCGCTTGCTGTGTAGGTATGATAGCGAAGCACGTTGAATGTCAGCGAGCTTCTGATTGGATGTGCTGATGTGAAGATTCAATACTAGTAAATGTGTGAAGCCTGCGCAGTGTTGGGTTCACAAGCTTGTCCAGGTCGGCATTCCCAGGAGGAACAGGATGAGCACGCCTGGTGTTAATCCAGTGATGCAAGGAGCTGTCAATGGCACTGGTCAGGCTACTTCTCCAGGATCTGCTGCTGGCAGCAATGCATCAGGTGGCAGTAGTGGTGTGACAAGCTCAACACAGCTGCCCAACCATCAGCCACAACAGTCACAGATAACGAGCTTTGCAGTACCAGTTGTTGGTGTGCAGAAGAGAGGGCGGCCTCAGAACGAGATCTGGAGTCATTACACAAAGCTGCAGGGCGGCAGGGAGACAGCTGACAAGCGTCACTGGGTGAAGTGCACCTACTGCGCAACGGAGTTTAAAAGCAGGGTTGAGGATGCAGTTAAGCATATTGCAAGGGCTTGCAAAAGCGCACCTGATGATGTGAAGCTAAATCAGCTGGCAATACTTGCTGCCAAGGTGCCAGCCAGCGAGAAGGACTATGTCCTTGAGGGGAAGAGGCCAAAAGCAGATGCGCCCGCATCACTGAAGCAGAAGCAGATCAGCTACCACGTCGACACAGCATCTGTGCTTCCGCAGCAGAAGAAGATATATGACCACAAGCTGCTTATGCTCTTTGTCATGCGGAACATTCCTTTCATGGTGGCCAGTGATCCCTACTTCCTGGACTTTGTAAGGGCGTTGAGACCAAACTATGCCCCTGCAGGTGAGCATTCTTTTCAAGCTTGATTGTCAATGAAATAATCTTGGAATCTGCAACTGAGAGCATGTGCCACACAGTCAACGACTGACAGTGAAGATTTTGATTGTGCTCTGACAGCCTACGGCGCCGAGACAGGTGAATTCAGCCTTTCTTCAAGCAACTTCTTGACTTCCGGAGCCACTTTAGAGCCTGAATACTGACAATATGCCGATGCATTGACACCGTTTGACTTTTCAGACAGCTACATAAAGACCTGACTTTGGTGCCACCTATCAAATCTAGTCTGGCAAGAAAAGGCAAACGAAGTGCGTGTCACTCTTACTGCAGGGGACTACACGTTGCGCCACTCGACATTGCTGGAAGAGGCCGCAAGAGTCGAGCTGGCTGTTCGCAAGAAGGTCGAGAGCCAGGGACACGTCACACTGACGTTGGACGGCTGGACGGACGCCTGGAAGAGGTCAATCTATGCCTTTGTTGGCTCGTTCCCAGACAGGGTATCCCATCTCTTTGGGACGGAAGATTTCTCCGATGAAAAGCATACCAGCGAGAACATTGCGAGTGAGCCCACCCCTCAAGTACTCAGCAGCTCACCAGCAGTCCTTAGAGATGCTCCTAAAGGTGTTGGTGAAAGTTGGTACATGCCTCAGGACACTCTGTGCGCCAGCGTTTGTCATAGGGCTTCAGCAAATAATCATTCTATCCTGCTTTGTCCTCTTGCTTCATGTCTCATATGTCTCATAGAGGATGCTTTTTTAGCAGCTTGCCAAGATAAGAACTCTGATGGGATTTATAGAGGACAGAAAGCTATGTAAACTGCTGATCAGAATCAACTGACAGGTGTGTCATGCTGCAGGCAGAGTCCGCATCTGGCTCGAGAAGTACGGCTACAAGAACTTCATCTGCCTCCTGACCGACAACCCCAACGTTATGAAGAAGCTGCGGAGGATCATCGTCGAGCTCCCCGAGGCCAAGCACATGCTCGAGCTTCCGTAAGCGAACCTGCTGCAATTGTCCTTTTGATGTTCCAACCTTTTCAATGCAGAGTTGACGAGCGCATACACGCTTGTTGCACAGTACCTGGCAGGACCTTCAAGCAGCACTCCCACTGATGGTAGGGTTGTTTTTCGGTGAAGTTTTTTTGCCATATGTTGCGAACGTTGACCGATGTGATGCGGTTTCTTGTGGGGAGCTCTGATGGCATGTCTCTCTGAGGCATCTGGTCTTTTAAAGAAGCCATCCTGCACAAGATGACCGCCACCTTACATGTACTCCTCAGTAGTGGCAGTAAATAACAGCTGCTTGGGCATGCTTTTTTGGTCTGCGATTTTGATACGCTGTACTTAAAGCCGCACCAACGTGTCTGCCATAGTCGTTAGTGCTGACGTCAGCCTATGTGCAGGTGCGGAATGCACGGCTTCAGCCACTTCATTGGGTCAAGTCTCGGCCACGAGTTTGCGGCGCCTGTGGTCGCGGACGCGCAGCGTGTCGTTACCTACATCAAGGCCAGCCACCGCCCTCTTGCGCTCTTGAGCGCAATTGCCACGGAGCAGAAAGTCACGACGGGCCTGCACTCCTCCAACAAGACCCGCTTCACCTCTGTGCACGACTGTCTCCAGTCGGTACTGGACAACGAGCGGCCCCTGCAGGCTGTGGTAGCCCGTCACCCGGAGGCCTTTGCCGCACCCCGTCGGGGCGCTGCAGACCCGAAGGCCATCATTCAAAGCCGGGGGTTCTGGTCCAAGCTCGAAACCCTCTGTACGGTCATGCAGCCGTTCAGCGAGGTGGTCATGGCCGTCCAGTCGCGGACCGCCACACTGGCGGATATCTTCCGCTATGGCATCTACTTGGGCCAGAAGGTCAAGAAGGTGTACGACGACACCTCGGTGGACCTCGCGTACCGCGAGCACCTCGTCCGCGCCTTCAACAAGCGCTGGGCTGATATGGACAAGCCGGAGTACCACCTGGCGCTCTTTCTGCACCCTCACTACCGTGCGGCAGCGAATGCGCGGTCCAAGTTCTCGGAGATCTGCCGTACGGTAAGCCGCACGGCTTTCACGTTTGTCATTTAGTCAAAATTTCGGTTCGGTTTTTGATTAGCAAGTTTGTATGCGCGCTCATTCACAATGCTGAGTTCTATTAGTCTCTTGGGGGCCTTGGAGTTTTGCTCTGCCCCGTTCTGAGCATCATTAACAGGCTAAGAAGCATGGGTGTTTAGGAAAGAAAGGACTCGCGTCAAGTTGAATTGCGAACCTTCAACTTTGCCGATTCTGATGAGCGGGTTCAGAATATATGCATCGAACAGAAAAGTTCTTCGCCGCTTTGAGCATGGGAGATTATGATGGGAGACAGATTTCTTTCGTCAAATCGTTTCGATTTCAAAGCTGATTTGAAAGTAGCCTCATAATCCTTCTGGCCGTACTCAGAAGCGGGGGTCTCTCCTTCAAGAACGCTTGAAGGGTGCAGAATCTTAAGCCGCTCAACCCAGTCGTCTTCGAGATGCACAATCTGACTGAAGGAACCCTTTTGCGGAGATCCGGCCAAATCTGCTTCTGAACAGCGGTTGAATGTGAATCCGGATCAGTTGGCTTTGGGAATGGCAATGAGCTGTCCGAGCATGTTCGACGGAGCAATCTTCTTGCACGGTCTTTTGACGCCATCTCGTGTTCTTGGAATGTAGGCGGGAAAGATCTGGAAGAATTACGGGCACGGACGTGAGGCAGTCCTGAAGCTGACGGCCGAGATGCAGCAGTACAAGGCGGGCCGTCCTCCGTTCGACCTGCAAGCCTCGGTGGTGGACTTCTAGCCTCGCTTGTACTGGGAATCGCTGCGTTCGGCCGAGTACAGCCACCTCCCCTCCCTCGCAATCATCATGTTTGACATCACCCCCCACGCCGGCGGTGTGGAACGGGTCTTTAGCATGATGGGGTGGATGCAAAACGACAAGCGGAACCGGCTTCGCACGGACACCCTCGAGATGATGGCCAAGGTCAAAACTTACCATCAGTCGCTGCAAACCAGGTACATCTCAAAAGCGCACAGAAATCTTGTCATATGCTTTGGATTCTCGTCATATGCCTTGCTAAGGCACACGACTTGCAGAGATCTAAACCAGGCTTTTCGAGAACTCATTTTGATAGCCCTTATTCTGCAATGGATCTGGTAGGTTGTGAGCGTGACACATGACCCCAATCATTAGCCGTTTATGCAGAGAAGTGGCCTGCAATTAATTGCTGATTCTCCGTCATCGCGAGCAAAGAATGACGTCGGCAGATGGTGGCACGAGAAAAGAGACTGGCGTCAGAGTCAGACGAACTCACAGAACGCTTGCTTTTCGTTTCAGGGTTGCTCCGCCCAAAGCCCGTCCGAGCGATCGAGCCCACACCTCGAGCGGTCGCCGCTCCAACGGCTGCCAACCCCGACACGGGAGCCTCTTCCTCCGACCCAACCAGGGCCGCGCCGGAAGGCGACCAGAATGCCGGGATCGACGACGAAGCGGAGCCCATGCCCGACGAGCTTGCGGCCATCCTCCGCTCCTTTTACGAGCAGGATACGTCGACGGTTCCTTGGACGAGCAGCCGGGCAACCGTCTACTGGTTGAAGACTCCTACGATCTGGACGACCCGTTGTTTGGGCCCGACCCGCTATCGGGGGCTCAGAGCCAGGCTGCGCCATGCGACTACGGCGCTTCGAACGAGCAATTCAGTTCAGATGATGTAATCAATCAGTTTCTAAACTCTAGCGGAGGAGACTCGTGAGAAGGGTTGGGTTTGTTCTCAGCTCTAAATTATTCACGAGAGTTGAAGAACTTTGAAGCTGAACTCTGAACTTACATTGGAGCTGCCGCCGGTCAGTTTACGATTGTAATCATTGTATTCATGCATCGAGTTTCCGAGCTGATTTCACTGTCGGCAGCGTTTTGCACGCGTTTCCAATGTTGATATGTTGCCAGGTCCTGGACAATGGACGTGCACTTTTGTCGAATCAGTACTTAAGTTCGGCGTTTCATACTGTTCTACAAGATGGTGATGCTACTAGTTCAAGCTAAGGGGGGCGAGGAAGACCGGGAGACATCATTGTTTTCTGCTTTTAGCGCTTGCTAGCATGTGACATGCCACAATACATGTGGCAGCTAGGTTGGTGGCGTTGTATATCTAGCTAGTCCGACATACAGAAGTATACTGAACAATTCGGAAGTGCAATGAAGAGAGTCGGGAATTCATTCTGGCAACATACGCAAGTCCATTAAATACGAAAGCCGCAGATTATTACACGCTTATACAAGCATCTATTTAATCATGCGCAAGTGAACCACTGGACAGGTCGCTTGCTATTATATTGCACATGGATGCAAATGTTAGAAGGCCGGCTGCACATGAATCCACCGTACAACTTGATCATTGCGCGTTTTCAGCATAATCTCCGCCCCAATATGGAGAACGTTTATTGCCGTTTATCACAAGCGCTATAGTAAGTTGCTTTGCATGCTAGCCGCTATGCTGTAAGAACCCGAGAGAACTGCAATGAGGCATGGCAATCGTTGTTCAATAGTATACAGATTCTGGCCGGAATTAATGCAATTATCACTAGGGTACAGAAACGTATGAAGAATCAGATTGCCGCGATCTGGCTTCAGTCTAAGTATACTTAACTTTATATATGATTTGACAGATGGGCTTTTGTACCGTACAGTAAGCATGGCTGCATATATCAAATGTGCCCGGTCAGCACCGTCGTTCTTTCAATATGTATTGTACATGTGTTGCTGAATTTGAATCTTAGTACTAGTAATGCGGAGGCATCATTAATTGTATGCCGGTTCGAGAATTGCACAGTATGCTATAATAAACAAAATTAGACGGATGTGCCATTTGCATGGCTCTGTGAAGTATCTAAATCGTGATCATGGCAAGGATTCGTCGTACAGCAACACGGTTTAAAGTGAGTACCAAGAGGATGCGTTCTTCGACAACCATCATATGGGACGCTTTTCGGCTAAGCCAGACACGTTTGTAAACACGTTTGTATACCGAGTTCAAAGTTCACTCCTAAATAAATTTAGAAAGTCAGTCACGGCTGGTCTAACGGCACCCTCTGGGGACGAGCACTTGCCGATGCTTTGAAGAGCACGAAAGGAAAGTTTGGTTTTCCTGCCGCCCCGCGTTGGATTACCCGTCCATCTATCCAGACCAAGCAACTTTTCTGCGATGAAACCTACGGCCCACATGTCCGATGCAGACGAATAGTCTCCACCGGTTATGAGTTCCGGAGCAATATGATGGGGACGTTGCTTCCTGTAAGTTTCCCGCTCTTGCGGACGTATAAGCTTATGCGACCGGCGATCAGAGACCCTGGTGCACAAACCAAAATCTGCTATGCGAAGCTTCAAAACTCTGTCCTTCCCGTAGTGAAGCAGGATGTTCTTTTCGTGCAGATCGCAATGGAGAAGTCCCTGTCCGTGTAAGCAGCTAATGCCCTCCGCTAACTGGACCACAAGTCTGACCCCTTCACTTCTGACCTCCTCGAGGAGACGGGCTTTCGCCTCGGATCTTCGGCTCCCCTTCAAAGCTTTCCACAAGGAGCCGCAATCACACCGCTCGAAAAGCGCCCAAAACGGAGACGATTGTGTGAATCCGAGACAGCTAACGAGGGACGGATGACGAACCGAACCCAGAACAAACTCATCAAAAACACGTCCCCGACTGACTCCCCCGCCTCCGTTTCCGGAAGCATTGTCTCGAACGACTTTAACAACCAGATCCAATTCCAGAAGCCATGCAGGCCACTGACTGCCTTTCAGCGAAGCTTCGTAGACCGTCCCAAAAGAACCTCCCCCGAGCATGTCGCCCAGGACAATCCCCGTCCGGTCCTTGAGGCAGAGAAGCTGAGGTAGCTCCATGTAGTCCAGTTGAGCGGGTTGGGGGTTCTCTGCAGCCGGCTCGGTGACGGAAGCAGCGCAACTCGCCCCCGACTCGGGGCAGGACTCGACGCCCACCGGATCCTTCATCTGCATTGAACCGAACTTCGTACGCTCAGAGCACTTGAATTTCAGCAACTGAACCCGAAAACCGAATCCAACCGGATTTGGCGGTCCGCTCAAGCTCTTTCAAAAAATCTTTGGAGACTCATGGCCTCGATCTTAAGAGGTTTTCACTTTCGACTCTGATATGCATCACCAGATTGCCACATACAGTGACGTCACCAACAAATCCACATCCCAAAGGTTATGAAGTCAACCAAAGGCATCTGTCTTGCAAGTAATAGCACGAAAGAGTCGCCTGCAGCTCAAAGAAGCAGGCTGGTTTGGAAGTAGATTGAGCACGCTCTGAAATGAGAGCCTCCGCGAAGCTTGCGCATCTCGAACCACCTGTCCACGGCACCTCAAGCAGGGGCCCAAACGAAGAGCGCAATCTCAGTCCGGATTGTCAAGCCCGTTGTTGGCTTCAAAAACACGAAACGACAGACACCTTTGAAGGAGAATGTCCAACTGAGAACTCTGTTAGGACTCGAAATTAAAGAGAGGCATCGCTTGCATCTTACTTTCATGTTCTCTGTCACAGCATGCGACTCCCCAGCTTCCGTTGGGACACGTGCCCTCTCCTCAGCCAACCGGCTCTCCGCCCTAGTTGTCCGTACCGCACTGCGCGCTCTCTTGTCTCGGGCAACATCTCGACCCCACCCTTCCTGGATGGCTTCGTGCCGTGTGCGCGTCAGCTTCTCCTTCCCGGCCTCCCCAGCTAGCAGCACGGCAGACGTCACCGTCGGCCTGGCTGACGTCACCGCCGTCTCCAAGTGGTGCTCATTGGCATCTGCTTCAGTCTTCGACTTGGTTTCTTCTTCCTACAGAAAAAGGGTAAAGATTCAGTGACAGCAGCGTGTTGGTGGTGGAAGAAACTCACCGAGAACTCAATGAACGGGAGGAAATGGGGACAAAATATCTGAGAGAAGTATCGCGAAGCTACCTCACGAGGGGCAAGCTACTGGCTCTGTCGTAACCTGACTGGTAAGAGGGAGCGACAAGTCGTGAAGGTTTAGAAGTTCTCCGCAAGGAAAGCGGATAATGCTAAGGGGAGAACGCATCATGGAAGATGCCCAACTGCTCATCACAAGGATCACCGAAAAGCGAACAAACCAAGGACAGGCTTCAGTAGAGCAATCACAGTCAATAAGTTGTGACAATCTCAACAAGCGATCAACCAGCGATGGGATGCTGGTGACACGAAAGCAATTTGGCACAGGTCTTAACCCGTCAACATGACTTGTAAGATTGTAAATCCCACACATATGAGACTCACATGCATCGACCGTTTGCCCAATGTTAGGCATCTGTCAATATTGTTGTCCATCAGTGCGACGCCCGTCACCGCTCCCACCCCGCAAGAGCAGTCATGCTCCGCCCGGTCTTGCGCCAGTGTCAAGAGCGCTTGAGCAGCTTCTCTGTGGCGAGCAGGAGACGCTACGGCCCCAGGCTGCAGCAACCAAGTTGCTTGCGCACCCGCTTGCGCAGCCTCTTGGGGTCCGACGTCAGTAGGCTGCAGGCACCAGCAGAATAGAGCAAGGTTGGCCAGGGTTTTGTCGGGCCAGGGTGAGAGGTCAAACTGGAATGATGGGTCTCTTATGAACCTACATCTGTTACACCTCCGTTTTTTGAATCTGACACAAAACACCCTATGCAACCACTGGTTGCATCGATGAACGCTGGAGTATGACCTACCCTGTTATTACTCCTGCATGCTGATCTACTATGCAATTCACTGTCTTGAGTGTCGAGTCGGGTGCACAAAGCTGCTAGGTGGTTGGTCCATCAGGTGACATTATGGTATGCCTACAACCAGATGCATCCTGACTGCTCTGATGCACCGTCAATCTGCCCCTCAGCCTGCCAAATGAAGTTCATAATACGCTGTCACGCTTACCTCATGCTGGTCTTGAGAAGGCGGCACAGTAGTAGTCGCAACAGGCAGTCCTCTCGATGCCATTTGGGGGGCTTCCGGAGATGCACTGGAGACAAGAAAATCAGAAGGCTTGAAAGAGATCCCTAATCATGTATATTGCAAGTTCCCATTTGACCATTGCTCCTGCCGATGCTCTTCTCTTGGTGGGGCATTTCCGGCTTCCACCCCCTCTTGTCTGCCTGTAAGAAGGTTATCTGAAATCCACCGTCATATGTCCCAGCTCAATCACATACATCCTCTTGCTTGGATCTGCATGAATCACGCGGACCGCATGCTCTGATTCTGTGTATGCCTTACCAGCGGAAAGAGCTTTGGCAACCTTCAATGGGGCGTACTTTGAACCCCCACTTAGAAGGTGACATCTTCGCGGTGCAAATTACGTTGGAAAGCAGAAGTTTCAGGTCACTGAAAGGAGCGGAGAAATTCTATGGAGCACTCTCACCTAGCGGCAGCTGCTGGTGTAGCTGCTCCTTAAGATCTTCACCGCCATTGCATTCTTCTCCTTTTGCTTCCGCTTGCTTTTTGCCGCTGTTAGCATTCCTTTCAAAACTCCAAGCGAATGCGCCGTACCAAACCTCAGATTCATGCTGCGCATGAAGTTGTCCTCAGTGCTGTAGTACTTTTGATATTGCATCGGCTTGCTGCCTGATGTGTTCTTAATCAGCCCATAGTACATATACGCCTTGAGACAGTCAAAAGCTTTTGGAGCAACGATGGTTAACACGCACTCGTGCTTTGTCGGCCTGGTCGAGCCCGCCTGTCTGTGGTTCTTTGTGATGTAGTAGCAAGGGCTCCTCAAACTGCCAGACACTGCTTTCCTCATTGGTGGACACAAGTTGAAACAGCGCTGCACTGAGCTGCTGCCCAGGGCTTTTGCCCAGATCTGGGATGGAGTGCCCTGTACTTTTGAGCAAACCTAAGGAGTTTTTGGCAGCCATCCGGACAGAACTAACTGGTAAGGTAAATGGAAACCAATCCTAAACTCTCTACAGCCCCTCTATGACACAGCAAACTTATTGGCAAATCAGCAAAAGGCAAAGCCGAACTTCAACCAACAGAAAGCAGTAGGCCCCACCTAAGAATGTCCAGCACTGAACTTGCAACTTCAGCTGGGCTTCAGCTCTAACTGCCTCAGCACTTCTTCGTACAGCGTAAAACTAACGGCATTGCGCTTCAGAAGGGCGTCTACCAGCGTTCCAGCTGATAGATCACTGAATTGTATGGTGACAAGAACAGAATGCTGGTGCCCTATGATCGGATGCTGGCAATGCCCATGCGCGGCAGCGGCGCCGCACAGCGCTCAATGGGCGCCGCCCGCGTCCGATCGGAGGCGGGCCGCGCCGGGCTGGCAGTAGCCAGGCCGCGCGCTGCGCGCGCCGCGCTTGGAATGGCCGGGCCGCCGCCCCGGCTGCGCGGCGAAGTTTTACTCAGGCCACTAGGCAGCCGCGGGGCGGCGCGAGTCTCAAATCCCACCCAACTCTCTTCACCGTCCGATGAGCAGGGTTTCTATGAGCGCCGTCGATAGGCGATTCTGCCGAACTGCACGCGGAGTGCCCGGTTTGACTGGGAATGCCATAAGCTATGGGCCACAGAGTCACTGAACTGAGCCTGGAAGGTTTGCTCTGGCACACTGCATTTGCCAGGCTTGCGAAACGTGAAGAGCAGCTCGTCTGGCGGCTGCAAGAGTCAGGGACGCACACTAGTGGACTGGCCAATGCCGTGCAGCAAAGAAGAGGGCCTGCAAAACGTGAAGGACAGCTCGTCTGGCGGCTGCCGGATGAGGGACGCAGTGACAGTGGATTGGCCCCTGCCGCAGCAAAGAAAAGGGCCTGCGAAAGGCGAAGGGCAGCTTGCGAATTGTGATTCTCAGCTGCCACCAATTCAAGGACTTTACTAGCTACTACTACTGGTGCTGCCAAGCATAAGGGACATTGGCGGCAGAGGGGCGGGATCTGACAGCGAGCTGAGAATCATGTCAGGTGCGTTCTCTTCAATGCACTCCATAGCCACTGGTGTGTCAGATCTTACACCAGTTATACGTTCAGTGGAGGTCCCGGCTTTGACCATATCCGGACCGAATATTGTAGCTTACCAGCGGCACACTCAGGATGATGGCTTCCTTTCATTTGCCGGATGACCTTAGCAATAAGGTTGTGATTTCAGTGGGGTGAGCAATTTCCGATGCCACAGCCAGAGTCAGCAAACCTTGATCACGATTGGATTCTAGATCATCTTTTAATTCTAGAAGTGTCAAAGATGACCGAGTGAGCTGTCAACTCGTGCCAACTATACGCAAGGCTGACAATGCATAGCATGGCCAGCAAAGTCTTGATGAGAACTCAGAATCAGTGACTCAGCAAAATATATGAGATCTTGGTGACACTTGGGCCCCCATGCCAGCCCACGTTTTTAGAAGCAATGAGTCAGACCAACCATCCCGGCCACTTAGAACATGTGGCAAACAGATTTTGCTTCGTCACGATTGGACCACACGGGGTCAATAGTTCTTAAAAGATGCTACAGAGAGCCTCGTGCAAGGTGTGGTCCACTGGTTCGTTCGTAAGTCAGACCGGCTATTTAGGTCTTCAGAAGCATGTGGCAAGCAGGTTTTATCTGGTGGACCACACGTGGTCAATGATTCTTTAGAAATGTTAGGGAGAGCCTCGTGCAAGGAGTGGTCCGCTGATTCGCTCGTTAGTCAGACCGGCCATCCCAACCACTGTTCTGTTTTGTAAGTCAAACCGGTCATCCCGGCCATTTGGATTAAGCATGTGGCAAGCAGGATTTGCTTGTTGGACCACACGTCGTCAATGATTCTTAAGAAACGCTGGGGAGAGCCTCATGCAAGGTGTGGTCCACTCAGTTCGTTCGTGAGTCAGACCGGCCATCCCGGCCATTCAGAAGCATGTGGCAAGCAGGTTTTTGCTTGTTGGCCCACACGTCGTCAATGATACTTAAGAAACGCTAGGGAGAGCCTTGTGCAACGTGTGGTCCACTGGTTCGTTCGGAAGTCAGACCGGCCATCCCTGTCATTTAGAAGCATATGGCGAGCAAGTTTGGCCCTTGAAACTCTTGGACCGCACCCTGTCAATGATTCTTAGGAACCCAGCTCTTTTGCTAGGCCGAACCTTATACAAGGTGTGGTCCAACCCTTCTCGAAATTCAGACTATCCGTTGCGGCATCTGCCAAAAGCTGGACCACACCTTGCCAATAATGTAATGAACCTCCCTACTATTGCTAGAGAATGCCATTTGCAACGTGTGGTCCAGCCAATCACGAGTCAGCCCCGTCTGTAAGACCTGCCATCCGGGCCATTCAGAAGCATATGGCAGGCGGTTTCGGTGGACCCTCATGGACCACATACATGTTGCCAATAGTTACTGAGGATCCGGCTCTTTGCTGGGCCAAGCCTTCTACAAGGTGTGGTCCAGCCCGTTTCAGACTTCGAAGGTCAGACCGACCATCCGGACTTGAGCACACGTCGTCAAAGATCCCCTTTTTGCTTGGCCGAGCTTCTAGCAACGTGTGGGCCACCCAATCGCAAGTCAGGCCGGCCATCCAGAAGCATATGGCAAGCAGTTTGGGGTCCGGCCGGCTCGTTGGACCACACGTCGTCAAAGATTCTTAGGAAGCTTGATGTTTTGCTAGCAAAAGTTATATGCAAGGTGTGGTCCAGTCCGTTCTAAAGTTCGCAAGTCTGGCCGGCCCTCCTGGCCATTCAGAAGCATGTGGCAAGCAATTTTGGTCCGGTCCCGTTGGACCACACGTTGTCAAAGATTCTTATGAACTCCCCCCCTTTGCCTGGCCGAGCTTCATACAAGGTGTGGTCTATCCAATCGTAAGTCAAGCCGGCCATTCCGGCCATTCAGAACTCCAGAACCACATGGCAAGCTATTTCGGTCCTGATGGACCACATGTTGCCAATAGTTATAAGGGATTTGGCTCTTTGTTGGGCGAACCCGTATACAAGGTGTGGTCCAGCCGCTCGTAAGGTAGACCGGCCATCCCTGCCCTTCAGAAGCAATTGGCAAGCAGGTCTGGTCCTGATGGACCACACGTTGCCAATACTTCTTAAGGATTCGGCTCTTTGCTGAGAAGAACCGTATACAAGGTGTGGTCCAGCTGCCCGCAAAGGCAAGCCGGCCATACGGACCGTCCAGAAGCATGTGGCAAGCAACTTCGGTCCTGATGGACCACACGTTGCCAAAGGTTATTGGGTGGGAATTCGGCTCTTAACTGAAAAGAATTGTTTGCAAGGTGTGGTCCAGCCATTCCGTAGAGCAAGCCGGCCATTCCGGCCATCCAGAAGCATATGGCGAGCACTTTCGATTTTCTTGGACCACACCTTGCCAATAGTTATATGAGGAGCCGGGAACGAAGCCATCTGCAAGGTGTGGTCCAGCATCAGGGCGGCCACCGAGCCACAACATGACGTGCAACTTTGTGTTTGGCATAATGAGCGGATTTCGGGCGTGCCGCAGAGACTTAGGGCCATCAAAACTCGCTCAAACTCTCAGCTTTTTCTCTTGTCCCAGGATGAATCTCGCGACGGCGTCCCGTGACGAAAAACGACCCTCCGGCGTCGTGCTCATTGCCTCGACCACTCCAGCGGCCTCGGCGAGCCTGCACGAGAACCTGAAGGCCGGTCAAGCCGTCAGGAGTTGTGCGGCAGTCCACTTCCAAGGCCCATCCCCCCTCTTCAGCGACATCAAGAGCGTCCCGGCTGCCGTCCCGCCCCTGCCAAATGCTGGAGGCGTGCGAGGAGGCCGCCCCTCCTACGCGGCCAAGCAGGGGGGCGCCGACTTTATGTTCGACTACGGGCTCGCCTTCAGCCTGCGGCCTGCTGGAGCTTTTGCTCGAGGCGGATTCGGCTCGACGTGCATCGGGCGCACCTGTGGCGGAAAGGGGGCGGTCTACGCCCGGGGGAGCGAGCCCTTCATATGGGAGCGGAAACGGAACCGGGGTGGGGCACTGATCTGCCGAGGTGGAGGGGGCCACCTCCTGTGCTCGCGGTGCGTGGAGGCCGAGTATGAAGCTGGGCGCCCCTTTGTTTCAAGCACGACCGGGGACCCTGTCCCCCAGCAAGAGCTGTTCACCAAGTACGAAGTGTTCCCCAAGACGAAAGAGCTTCGAGAGGTACGGCTAGGGGAGGTGGGAAGCGAGGGCGGCTACCAGTTTTTTGTCCAGAGGAGGGACCTTGCCGCCTGCCCATACTGCCGCGAATCTAGAACGGTTGCTCCATTGAAGCGGGGGGTGAAGAGGGCGCTTGAAGAGGGGCCGAGCCCACGAGAGCTCGGCTCGGTTGCCCTCCTCTCGGAGCTTACCCGGAGCAAGATTCCTTCGATTGCCGTTGCCCCCGGCCTCTTCCTCGTGCCCCTGCTCGACGCCTCCAGTGGGCGCCTTCTGGATATTTCTGCCACAAATCGAGGGCTCAGTAACGTCCCCCGGCTCGTCAAGGTCGACCACACGGGCAGCTTCCGGTGCCTCTGTGGTCAGAGGGCGTGCCGTGACCACGACATGGCGTTCCT